ATATGACTGGCAGTACACTTGCTGCTTCGACTTTGACCGGCCACCGTCGCTGCCGCCAGTCCCGCCCTACCCGCCAGCCCTGGCCCCCGCTCCGCCGCCGGCGTCGCCACCGTCTCCCTGCGTCCACGACGACAGCAAGTGCTCGAGCGACGGCGACGACTGCTGGGCGGACCCGAACATGGAGGCGCAGACCTGCAGCGACGGCTACACCGCCAGCCCTCACCCCGACGAGCCTCGGAGCGACGGCCGCTACACCTGCTACCCGCCTCACTGCCGCTGCGACGCGTCCAAGTGCTCGAGCGGCTTTGACGACTGCTGGACGACTGCTGGCACGCCAGACGATGAGGAACAGACGTGCCGCGACGGCTACTTGCCGATCGCGACCAATGACTGGGGGCTGTACACCTGCTGCTTCGACTTCGACCAGCCGCCGTCGCTCCCGCCGCTGCCGCCGTTCCCGCCAGGCCTGGCCCCCTCTCCGCCACCATCGCCCCCGCCGTCTCCCTGCGTCCACGACGACAGCAAGTGCTCGAGCGGCGGCGACGACTGCTGGGCGGACCCGAACATGGAGGCGCAGACCTGCAGCGACGGCTACACCGCCAGCCCTCACCCCGACGACCCTCGGAACGAAGGTCGCTACACGTGCTACCCGCCTCACTGCCGCTGCGACGCGTCCAAGTGCTCGAGCTACGGCAACGACTGCTACGCGGACGGCACGCCAGACGGTGAGGCGCAGACGTGCCGCGACGGCTACTTGCCGATTGCGATCCGCGACTGGCAGTACACCTGCTGCTTCGACTTTGATCAGCCGCCGTCGCTGCCGCCGCTCCCGCCGTTCCCGCCTGGCCAGGCCCCCGCTCCGCCACCATCGCCCCCGCCGTCTCCCTGCGTCCACGACGACAGCAAGTGCTCGAGCGGCGGCGACGACTGCTGGGCGGACCCGAACATGGAGGCGCAGACCTGCAGCGACGGCTACACCGCCAGCCCTCACCCGGACGAGCCTCGGAACGAAGGTCGCTACACGTGCTACCCGCCTCACTGCCGCTGCGACGCGTCCAAGTGCTCGAGCCGCGACGGCGACGACTGCTACGCGGACCTGAGGTACGAGGCGCAGACGTGCCGCGACGGCTACTTGCCGGTCGCGATCCGCGACTCGCAGTACACCTGCTGCTTCGACTTTGACCAGCCGCCGTCGCTGCCGCCGCCGCCGCCGCTGCCGCCGTTCCCGCCAGGCCAGGCCCCCGCTCCGCCCCCTCCTGAGTGTGCTGCTCGCGGCTACGAGTATGTCGGGTGCAACTGCGACCCGGCTTCTGAATGCTCGCCGTGAGGCTCGAGCTCAGGCGGCGACTGCTGCGGGGACGACGGCGGCTACTGCGGCAGCGAGTGGGTCTCGACGGACGCAT